CTTTGATTTCTGGTGTGTACACATTACTATCCGGGTTCCAGCCAGAGACCTAAGGTTAAAAATGGCATCATGACATTTTCCTTTAACCAATTAAACACACACACACACACACACACACACACACACACATTTTACATAGATAAAGATCTTCGTAAGGTTTGGGCTGTACTCGTGAGAACAATTTTTTGTGTTTCTTTAAGGCATGGACTTCCAGGAATCCCTTCAATGAGTCTATTGTAATCTTTTCCAATTAATCCGAGGGTTCCAACTACATCAGGGATTGTTGAAATTTTCATGTGCGATTTCAAGGCCATTGTATTTTTGAAGATATTCAAAGATACATTGCAGTCTTCTGGGAATGCCATATCAATAAGGAGGCATTTTTTTTGTTTGTGGTCTCTAATAACAATGTCTGGGCTGTTAGCTTTGATTGTTATGTCTGTGTGTATTGTAAAGTCCCTTAAAATTGTTACAGGTCTGTAACCGGGTCTGGGTGGTATTCATAGCAATTTCTTGCAGTTTCCTTCCCGTAGAAGTTGCAGATTTCCCCGTGCAAATATTAGCCCAATCTGTCATGTGGTGTTTTATATTCAGTGGGTGCCAATATCGTGCAACCTGAAAAAAGATGGTCAATTGTTTCTTGATATTTATCACAGAATCTGCATTTTGGATTAACAGAATTTCTCAGTATGTGTGCTTGATAATTTCTAGTTAACAAGCATTGGTCCTGTGCAGCAAGAATAAAACCTTCCGTTTCAGCTTTTAACCCTGCACTACATAGCTGATGAGTACGGAGTTTGTCTACATCAGTTTGTTTGGTACGGACAGAATATTGACCGTGAAGCGGTTTATCTTGGCATCGTTTCTGTATCGTTGCATTTGCTTTCTTTTTTTAAGTATTTTCCAGATTCTGTCGGTGTATTGCTTATTATTATTATTATTATTATTATTATTATTATTATGTTGGTGTCGCACATCGATGTCGTCAATGGAAATTCTCTTCTTGGAGAATGGTATCAACAAGACTCCTTACAACACAAGAACTTTTCGGAGAATCCTTGCAGATTAAATGATGGAGATTATGTGGCGGCTTACAATCTTGATTGATATTCTCTTTCCAGTTTCTATATAGTGTTCCGAGTGCGACCATTACTACAGGAATTACTTCAGTAGTCATGATCTATAGCTATATCAACTCCCTAGACAGATCCTGTTTTTTTTTTCAATCTTTTAACTTTCTTTGGGGTCCGCTTCTGTATCATGTGTAACACCAAAATCAATAATTTAAAACTGGCTACTTTCCTTATTTATAACAATAAGATCGGGTGTTCGTGTTTCAATAACATAATCTGTTAGAATGAGAAATCCCATAATATCTAGTGACTGCCATATTCTACCGCTGCCTAAAAAAAAAAAAAACCTATGGTCACACACATTTTATATAGGTTATTATTATTATTATTATTATTATTATTATTATTATTATTTTCTTTGATTTCTGGCGTTTACACATTTCTTTCCGGGTGCCGCCCAGAGACCTAAGGTTAGAAATGGCATCATGACACTTTCCACTGACAAAAAAAAAAGAAGAAAAAAAAGAAGAAAAATATTACATAGATAAAGCCCTTCGTAAAGTGTGGGCTGTACTTGTCAGAACAATTTTTTGTATCTCTTTGAGGCATGGACTTCCAGGAATCCCTTCAATTAGTCTACTGCAATCTTTTCCAACCAATCCTAGGGCTCCAACTTCAACAGGGATTGTTGATGTTCCCATATGCCAAATTTTTTAGATTTCTATTTTAAGGTCCTTGTATTTTGACAGCTTTTGAATATCTTCAAAGATACATTGCAGTCAGCAGGGACTGCCATATCAATAAGGAGGCACTTTTTTTGTTTGTGGTCTTGAATAACAATGTCTGGGCTGTTGGCTTTGATTGTTCTGTCAGTGTGTATTGTGTAGTCCCATAGGATTGTAACAGGTCCTATCTCCGTAACCGGATCTGGGTGGTGTTCATACCAGTTTCTTTCAGTTTCCTCCCGGTAGAAGTTGCAGATTTTCCAGTGCAGATATTGGCTCACTCTGTCATGCCGGGTTTTATATTCAGTGGGTGCCAATATCATGCAACCTGATACACGATGATCAATCGTTTCTGGATATTTATCACAGAATCTGCATTTTGGGCTAACACAATATTTTAGTATATGTGCTTAATAATTCCTAGTTAGCAAGCATTGGTCCTGCGCAGCAAGGATAAAACCTTCAGTGCGTATGTTTTGTTTCCTGCTTTGTATCATGTAGAGCCGGGTCCAAATTATGATCCTTAGGCCCTATCGGAGACTTGTCATTTAATTGATAGCACTTTTCTTAGTATATGGGATGTTCCAAGTAAGGCGATCTTTTGGGCAACCTGTATTTCGATGTTACCTGAGACACTGTTAATAAAATTGTTGATTCCTTTTCTCACGAGTCTCAGAGCTCCGTTAACCATTGGTACAATCTCAGTCTTCATTCTCCACATATTATTATTATTATTATTATTAAGTTGGTGTCGCACATCGACGTTGTCAATGGAAATTCTGTTCTTGAGAATGGTGTAAACAAGACTCCTTACAACTCAAGAACTTCGGAGAATCCTTTCAGATTAAATGATGGGTATTATGTGGTTTTCAATCTTGGTTGATATTCTCTTTCAAGTGTCTATGTAGTGTTCCGAGTGCGACCATTACTACCGGAATTACTTCAGCAGTCATGATCTATAGCTACCTCAACACCCTAGGCAAATCCTGCTATATTTCAATCTTTTAAGTTTTTTTAGTGGGGGGGGGGGGTTGTAGGTTCCGCGCTTAATGTCAATAATTTCAAACTGGCTACTTTCCTTATCTTTCCTGGCTACTTTATCCACTGTACCATGCGTCCTCAAGGCGTTAGTTAGATCCAGTGACAGGACCCAAAAAGTGTGAGTTCAATACCTGGTTAAGGCAGTAGAGAACTTGGAGAGGGGAATTAACAGGCGATAACTGATAACTGACATCCATTAGACATGACACGTGGAACTAGAACAGTCTACCCCAGTGACCGAAATAAAGGGTTCAGTTCGACATTCCAACCACCTGAAGAAGGCCGGAGCGTACAACGGCCGAAACGCTGTGATAAATATGGCGACAAAGATGAGGAAAATAGTCCGAATAATGTAAATATTGTACATAATACCTCATCTCAGAAATATAGACAGATACTGAAGGGCTGAAACGTTGTAATAAATATGGCGACAAAGATGAGGAAAATAGTCCGAATAATGTAAATAGTATACATAATACATCATCTCAGAAATATAGACAGATACTTTCCTTATTTATAACAATAAGATCGGGTGTTCGTGTTTCAATAACATAATCTATCCAGATGAGAAATCCCATAATATCTAGCGACTGTTATATTCTACCGCTGCCTCAGGCTGATATTCATCCAAATTCTCATAGAGTTTTCGTTTTCAAACGTAGATCTTGAGTGCTCTTCATCAAGTCTTACGAACCTCAAACAGGTAAACCCCGAAATACCAACAGTCACGATGAACAAGTGGTGTCCCCTCGGGCAGGCACTGTGCCTTGAAAGACTATTGGGCTTCAAACATCTGACCTCGAGTAGAACTCGTACATACGATCCATTGGTAAAGATGCCCTCAAGTGGAACTCGTACATACGATCCATTGCTAAAGATGCCCTCAAGTGAAACTCGTACATACGATCCATTGCTAAGGATGCCCTCAAGTGGAACTTGTACATACGATCCATTGCTAAAGATGCCCTCGAGTAAAACTCGTACATACGATCCATTGCTAAAGATGCCCTCAAGTAGAACTCGTACATACGATCCATTGCTGAAGATTCCCTCAAGTGGAACTCGTACATACGATCCATTGTTAAAGAGGCCCTCAAATGAAACTCGTACATACGATCCATTGCTAAAGATGCCCTCAAGTGGAACTCGTACATACGATCCATTGTTAAAGATGCCCTCAAGTAGAACTCGTACATACGATCCATTGCTGAAGATGCCATCTAGTAGAACTCGTACATATGATCCATTGCTAATGATGCAGGTAAAATGGTCGATTTCCTGTACCGTTACAGTAAGTATCTGAACCCTTATGCTATCCTCTACCTTTACAAGAGCCAGTTCAGGCCATAAATGCAGTGTTTGTTGCCATGTTTGGATGGAAGCTGCCCAGAACTCACTACTTAGGCTTGATAAAGTTCAAAAGCTTCACCGAACCCTTGTGGGTGACGAATTATTCTCCAGCCTTCAACTTCTCTCCCACAGGAGGGATGTGGCAAGCCTCTCTCTGCTCTATCGCTACTTCCACGGAAAGTGCTCGGGCGAACGACATTGCCTGGTTCCGCCAATTTAAACCTTCACGGCAAGAAGACGCCATGTCACTTACACAGTAGCAAGCCATTCACATTCCCTTTGACGAGTTCTACTTGATGGCATCTTTAGCAATGGATCGTATGTACAAGTTCTACTTGAGGGCATCTTTAACAATGGATCGTATGTACGAGTTCCACTTGAGGGCATCTTTAGCAATGGATCAGTGAGAGGTAAAGTCCTACTCGAACTGCTTCTTCCTGCGAACGACTCCCCTGTGGAACCAGTTTCGACGATCACTACAATCTTAACAAGTTAAATTGTCTCTTAACGTAACCTTCGCGAGTGGTTCCCGGGCCTTGTACAGGGTGAACCTTTCTGTAAAATGTATTTGCAGTACAAAGCAACGCGGACTTCTGAAGCGAGAAGTCACTAAGTCTGATTCCGATTTACTCGATAAAGAACATTAAGTTCGGGGATATAGACTCCACTACCATGGTGATAACTGGGATCTACACCACCGAACATAAAGTCCTACACTGAGAAAATCGAAATAAAGTGTAGTACCTTATTATTATTATTATTATTACACACTAATAATATCTGTCACGTTTTTCTACTGATATCAAGTTACATGAGATCTAAATATGCTACTTCTCTTGTCAGCAGAACCAAGAATACGCAACTGCGTCTACTGCAGATGGATAAGAACCTCCTCCCCCCAAAGAGAACACCTACTAAGTAAATACTCGTGGACTTAACGATAAATATTTACATTTCTGAACCAAGAACATGCTTGTCACAATAAGCAGTCCTGTAATCCCAGAGGGTCGTCGGGGCGACATATGTACTGTGGCTGTGGCAACACTGGTGTGTCTTGGGAAAGTTTCGATTCACATGTTTTCCTTCCCCTAGACTGGTTGTCAATCAAGGCAATAAAACCCAGTCTGTCCTGTTATTTATTCATAGCTGGGAGGACATGTTTGTACATATGATTAAATAAAAAAAAAAAGAGATTACATTTCGAAATTAAGCGACCCAACAAAGGTTGACATGTTGTAAAATCAACCAACCCATTTAAATATTCTCGTTGAGTACATTAATAATATTGTCAAAATAATTTTCTTCTTCTTCTTCTTCTTCTTCTTCTTCTTCTTCTTATTATTATTATTATTATTATTATTTCCTTTAATTTATACTGTATGCACATTTCCTATGGGTCCCAACCCGAGACCTAAGGTCAGAAATGACTCTATGGCATCTTACATTGATCATTTTTACAAAAGCAATCCAGAAAGACAAAATCCAAAATCACACACATTTTACATGTATAAAGCTCTTCGTAATGCGTCAGATGTACTTGTGAGTACAATTTTTGGTATTTCTTTAAGGCATGGGCTACCAGGAATCTCTTCAAAGAGTCTATCGGAACGTTTTCTAATCATTCCGAGACACCCAACTTACAACCGTAATTATGGATGTCCACATGTGCCATATTTTTTGAGAATTCCATTTCAAGATCCTTGTATTTTGTTAGTTTTTTGAAGATCTTCAAAGATCCATTACAATCTGCAGGGTTTACCATGTCAATAAGAAAGCGTATTCTGTTCTTGTAGGTTTTGATCACGATGTCTGGGCAATTAGCTTTCACTGTTCTGTCTGCGTGTAATGTCGCATAAAACTCTTACAGGTTCTATCTCCGTAATCTGGTCTGGGTGTTGTTCAAACCAATTTCTTGCATATTTTCCAGTGCATATATTGGCCCGCTCTATCATGCTGAGCTTTATATTCAGTGGGTGCTAACACCGTGCAACCCGATACAAGACGCTCAATCGTTTCTGGATATTTTATCACAGAATCTGCATTTCGGGTTAACACACTTTCTCAGTATGTGTTCTTGGTAATTTCTAGTTAGCAAGCTTTGGTTCTGTGCAGCAAGAATAAAAACTTCGGTTTCGGCTTTAAACTGATGGGTTTTAGGGCTTGTCTACATCAACTTGTTTGGTACGGGTGAAGAGTCTTATCTTGCTATCGTTTCTGCATTTGGTCCAATTGCATTTCTTTTCTTAGTTTTTTTTGCCATTACAATAAGTGTTATGGTTTATTTGCAATTCTTAACTTACTTGAAATTCCCTTTTCAAGTTTCTGGCTTCAGTTATTAATGAATAAAGTTTCTTATTTATTTTTCTTTTTTCTTTATTATTATTATTATTATTATTATTATTATTATTATTATTATTATTATTATTTCTACTCATTAAATATCCACACAAGTCGTAAACGGTGTTTTACACAGGAGATCAATTGATAAAAAGTTTTCTCACTACTCCAGCACTCTCCGCAGTATTTTTGCTGATTTTAATAATGCTGTCATCTGGGTGGTTTTGAATCTTCTTTAGATTTATTATTCATTCTCTCTCTTTTCAAGGATCTTCGTCACAGTTCAAGTGTTCAAGTAATGACGGGTACAACTGTCATCTTTATATTCCATAACTTTTACGATTCACGGACAAGGTTTAGATCTTTTTTACTCTCTTTCAAACTAAAGAAATTACACTTGAAATTCATGTAAGTATAGACACTGGTAATACCCTCGAAAAAGTATAGAGACTGGTAATACACTGTTAAAACGAGAGAATATGTATTCGTAAAGTGTAGGAACTGCTAATACACAGTTAAAAGTGTATGGACTAGTAATACACTGGTAAAAGTGTAGAAACAGGTAATACACTGATAATGCATGAAAATATGTATTCGTAAAGTGTAGGAACTGGTAATACACTGTTAAAAGTGTATGAACTGGCAATACACTGGTAAAAGAGTATGAACTGGTAATACATTGGTATCAGTGTAGGAGCAGGTGATACACTGATAATACATGATAATATGTATTCATAAAGTGTATGAACTGGTAATACACTGTTAAAAGTGTATGAACTGATAGTACACTGTTAAAAGTGTAGGAACTGGTAATACACTGGTAAAAGTGTCGGGGACTATTGATTGGCAATACCTGATGATATATATTCACGCTCCAAGTATTTCTTCAGGTTGACAGAATTTCAACGCATCACATAGAAACGCAGCCCACTCACATATATTATTATCATTATTATTAATAATAATATTTATTTGGGGTTTGATATCATAATAAAGTTATTATTTTTTTGCATGGGACCTAAGGTAAAATTGTTTTCTTTTTTTTTTTGCAATTTATCAGAATAATTTTCCCCACTTATGTAATCGGTACTCAATATCAGTCTTTTGTGTTCGCCATAGTAGCATGTTAACTTCCTTAATTCCATTTCCCCCCCTCTTCCTTTTGGTTGTTAGTTGGTTAAGGAAGAAACATCATGTGGAATCATCATCATCATCATCATCATCATCATCATCATCATCAATAATACCAATAATATAATAATAATAATAATAATGATAAAAACAATTGATTTGCGTATAATGCGGCTATAATTGATCACTCTAACTCTAAGTTCATAATAAAACCGTGTCTAATATATAGTAATTACTTACTTGATATATAAGCGATTTTATTATCATTAAATATTTACTGTGAAGCTCGTTTTTTTTTTTTTTTTAAAAAGCGAGACAACAATTATAATAAGAGTAATATCGATAAATTCTTTGAATAAGTGTGAATTATTGGCAAGAAAATTCATTCGTTCTACAATTCTAGAAAAAATTCAACGACCATTATAAATTCCTTACTGTTTAATAGATTCTATTTAGACTTTTATGCTAAATAAATAAAAGCGCCATATATATATATATATTAGCGTTAAGATTTTTTGTAAAATAATTGAATTCCTGTATCATAATTCGATTAACTTTTGTTAAGAAAAAGAAAAAGAAAAAGGGTTTAATTCAGTTGGATTTTTTAAATCTCACTTCAACACAAAATTTCTAAAATCGTATATAAGTATTATAGTATTATGACTTTCTGAAGACTTCTAGAACTATGTGGAACATTATGGAACTTTCTGGGGCGTTCTAGAACATTATGCAACCATCTACATCTTGTATTTTTTTTATTTGTAAGTTTTTATGTTATGCTATAGCTATAAACTGTTAAATGCGTTAAAATACATATGTACTATCCGATTACATTATTAGAAAATTGAAAAATAATGCTTCTGAAATATTTGGACTTTTCACCCTAATTGGGTATATGCTAAAATCGATTTTTTCAATATGGGATGACGTTTTTCAAGAACTAAAATTAATGTCTTTTTTATTACTTTTCAACAAAAGTTAATCGATTTATGAAACAGGAACAAGGGGTCACAGAAAAATCATAACACTAAATATATATATATATATATATATATATATATATATATATATATATATATATATATATATATATATATGTGTGTGTGTGTGTATATATACAAATATATAGAAAATAGGAAAAGAATACGTTAGGTAAATAATCCGGAGTTCTTTAGTATTTTTTGTTTTATTTTAAAAAAAACAACAGTGCTCCATACAGAAGTAGAGCTTAAATTATAATTAGGAATCATATTTTTTTTAAAATAATTATATATATATATATATATATATATATATATATATATATATAATTATTTAAAAATATGATTCAACACGCTACATAAGAGTTCTCATGTTTCAAAACAAGAGCCGAAAACTTCAATATAATTATTTGAATTAAATTGAATTAAAGTAAGCTCTGTTCCATAAAAAAAAAAATTCGCTTGAAGATGAAACAGAGCTTACTTTAATTCAAATAATTATATTGAAGTTTTCGGCTCTTGTTTTGAAACATGAGAACTCTTATGTAGCGTGTTGGAATCATATTTTTAAATAAATAATTATATTTATGCTCTACTTTTGTATGGAGCACTATTTTTTAAAAATAATAATAAAAATACTAAAGAACTTTGGATTATTTACCTAACCAGTTCTTTCCTATTTTCTATATATTTTCACACACACACACACACATATATATATATATATATATATATATATATATATATATATATATATATATATATATATGAGTTGGGATCAGATATAGATAAAAATGGATCGGAATAGATTGATAAATGTTTGCTACTTTTTCTTTATCCTTTCGTTCTGATTCCGATCCCAACGCATATATATATATATATATATATATATGTGTGTGTGTGTGTGTGTGTGTGTGTGTGTGTGTGTGTGTATTGTGCGTGTGTGCAAATATATTGATATAATAGGAAAGTACCGTTAGATTGATGATCCGAAGTTCTTTAGTACTTTTGTTTTTATTTTTATAAAAACAATGCTCGATACACAAGTAGAGCCTAGATTATAATTATTTTTCTTTTAAATATGATTCCATCGCGACACAGAAATTGCAATGTTTCGAAACAGGTCAGCAGTATTTAAGTTTAATTCTAATCTCAAACCTTAACCACTGGGTTAAGAAGAAGAGGATCCATACCTTTCCCAAGGGTATTAGCACGTAAGTGAATGCAATCCATTACTCCATCGTAGATTTACAAATAGCCACCCAATAGAGATCAGCGTAAAAATTATTATTATTATTATTATTATTATTATTGTTGTTGTTGTTGTTGTTATTATTCTGCTTGTTCTTTCGTTACTTCTTTCCAAAATGTCATAAATAATGGACAATTCTGTTTTGAGCGCGAGGAAAAACGGAGAAGACATATCAGTGATGCTGATAGATTTCTAAGTCAAAAAAAAAAAAAAAAAAACAGAAAGAAAGAAAGAGGAAGCGATGACGCTCTCGTTTCTTTAGTGTCTGCTTCGATGAAATGGAAAACCTGGTCACTTTTCATTCATTTCAGTTGTACCCTTTACTTCTTTAAATAAGGACCTGTATTCAAACTAATGCTTGTCATTGTAATATTTCGTTAAACTTGTCAGGCTTAAATATATAACGAGACAACGAGTGGGATTTCCACGGCTGTTTTATTGTCGTAGAACTCGCAATGAAATTATTTACTCGTTAAATATTAGGGTACAGCAGAAAATTAAAATAAGAAAATCGGGAAATATTTACGGGTATCAGAAGTTATTATTATAATAAATAATAATAATAATGTTACTAATAATGATATAATATAAAATCCTGAAATATTTACGGATATTACCAGTTATAATAATAATAATAATAATAATAATAATGAACTCGAAATCTCAAAAATGTGGTACATGGGAACATCAACAATCCCCGTTGTAGTTGGAGCCCACGGATTGGTTGGAAAAGATTCCAGTAGACTAATTGAAGGGATTCCTGGAAACCCATGCCTTAAAGAAATATAAAAAAAATTGTTCCCACGAGTACAGCCCACACCTTATGAAGGATTTTGTCTACGTAATTTTTAAAATATTAACATTTTTTTATTTTTATTTTTTTTCAGTGGAAAATGTCATGATGCCATTTCTAACCTTAGGAAAGAAATGAGTATACACCAGAAATCAAAGGAAATAAAATAATAATAATAATAATAATGCTACTACTACTAATAATATAATATAAAACGCTGAAATATTTACGGGTATTACCAGTTATTATTATAATAAATAATAATAAACAAAATGATTGACGTGACTTTTCCAATATTTTTTACAGTCATCACACAAGCGCCATTTAAGAAAAGAAAGAAAAAAAAACAGTTTTTGATGATGTTCAACAATATTTCCACATTATGTCTGACCTCGTCAAGTAATATTCAATTTTAAAAATTAAATTTTTTTTTAAGACAAGCAACATTTGTAGAAAGTTTTTGCAGATTTATATATTTTTATACTTTAAAATTAAAAATAATTTAACTTGAAGCAGACATTGACAAACACTGTATTTGTTCTTAAATCTCTCTCTCTTCTCTTAACTGTAACAACAACAACAACAACAACAACAACAACAACAACAACAATAATAATAATAATAATAATGATAATAATAAAAATAATATAATAATGACGATGATACTACTACTAATAATAATAATAGAAAACCATGAAATATTCACGTGTGCTATTATTTATTATTATAAAAATAATAATAATAATGATCATTATAATATAATAATAATAATGATATAATGATAATAATAATATTTTAATAATTATGATACTACTACTACTAATAATAATAGAAAACCATGAAATATTCACTAGTGCTATTATTTATTATTATAAATAATAATAATAATGATAATAATAATATAATATAATAATAATGATAATAACAGTATTTTAATAATCATGATACTACTACTACTACTAATTAATACTAATTTATTGATTATTAACACGTTGTATTAGATAGTTTTCATTATAGATTCAAGTGACAACAAATCTTTTTTAACTTAAGTATCCTAGTCACTATTAATGTGGATGGTTTTGAGTCCTATGTGGATTTCCAAGTCTTTCCTTCCTTTCGTAAGGCTGATCATGCCGAATACAGCAGTCACCTTCATGTTCTACAATTACTTATTATATTTGCGAATGTTGAATTTTCACATCAGCCAGTGTTATTCACTGATAATCAAGTGACAACAAGTCTCATGTTTATTTCACCACTTGCATTTATTATTATTATTATTATTATTATTATTATTTCTTGTCCTCTACTGCGGCTTGGAAGTCTCCGGTTGTAACGATTCCTCGTGACACCGGATAGACTCCCCAGTGAGTGGGATTACCCCAGGGCATTGGGTTTCCTAATATAAAATTCATCCGGACCCATAAGTGAATTGCAAAACAAAGTCTTCTTCGGACACGAAGTACAAACACGATTATTATTATTATTATTATTATTATTATTTCTGCTATGGACACACTACCTACCAAGTCTGCGGAAAGACCTAAGGCAGGTCGTGGTGTGTTGTTATGGCCACATTTCATGTTAATTTTTTTTTTTTTTTTTATCTCCGATGAAGTTGCTAGCGTTACATAGACAAAGTTCTCCTTAGTGTGTGTGCTGTACTTAATAAGACAATTTATTTATTATTATTATTATTATTATTATTATTATTATTATTATTATTATTATTATTATTATTGTTGTTGTTGTTGTTGTTGACCTTTGCTTTGTGTATGACGTGTTACTCCCAAGACTCAGCCAGACGCACAGTGGCTTCAAGATACAACAAATCTTTTGTATTAGAAGATGCAAAAATATATGGCACCATGAGGTTAGATATTCAACAAATATTTATTTACCCACGTAACCCTCTTGTATGTCAATGCACCTAATTCAGTGAGGCATATTACGTCATCACTTAGATCGAACATTGCAACGTGAAAATTCCAGATCAAAATGCTGCTATGAACTATGTGTCTTATAGACACACCATTTTAAGTCTGCTTGTGTGTGTGTGTCCGCGCATATTTGCTTTCCAGAAAATCTCGCTTAAAAATAAAAGGTTCAAAGGTTTAATAATACGTTTAAAAAAAAGGTTATATTATTTTTAACGGACAATTAAAATTTATTTTATTTTTTAATTTTGAAAGAAAAACTATTATTATCGAATATTTGATTTTATATTTCATATATATGCAATAAATTTAATATATATTAAATGTTAATTTTTATCAAATAAATGTATTTAAATTCTTTGCTAATATTGCAGAATTAAAATTCTACAATTTGAACGAATTTTATTAAGTCAAATATATATAGGATTTATTTTACATCTAATATTTGACAATAAATGTTATATTAAAATTGTATAATTGCTTAATTTTAAAAAAAAGATTAAGCAAATGGATGCGAAATGTTACAAATGCTATAAAAATCTGAAATTATCAACCCCCATAAATCTATAAATTATAGGGTGCTGAAAAGTTACTGGCCGCGTAAAAAATTCTAAAAATTTCTGATGTTTGTTCACCTGGGCATATTTTGGTAAATGGTTTGCGTTGAGAAATTTTCAGCATACCATGTAAGTCCGATGAAGTTCAAAAAACAACAAACACACACACACACACACACACACACACACACACACACACACACACACAACATTTTCTGTTTTTTCATAGATTTGCCTAAAATTGTTCGATTAATTCGATATAAAAAAAATTATACATAGTTTTCCCTTATATTAAAATGAATTTTTATTATGATGGCTTAACAAACGTCGATTTCGGAGAGTTTTCCTCGTCTGTTGCAGGTTTTCTGATGAATATTAAGATCTAAATTGGTGAGGCATTTTCTCCATACCTATTGCAGTTGAGAATTTAACAACCGGCCGGGGCCCTGGCTTTGCAGCGAAGCTCATTTTAGTTCGTTCCATGAGGGAAAGCTGTCCGAGAGATCTTTCACTTAAATGTCCGCTTGTCAGCTAATTCTGCTTTTCACATATTAAATTTATTGAAATGTTTTTATTTTTTACAATTTAATTTAAAATTGAATAAATGTCATGTCATTTGATTTTCAAATAAAAAATTAAAGAATAATAATTGAAAAAATATTTAAATTACAATAATTGCAAATTAAAAAAAAAGGACAAGTATTTGCGATATAAGCTTGTCCATTGACATCTGTGGTTATAAAATATTAATGTTGAAATATAAATGTGTTCTTCATTGAGAATCGGTTAAAAACACCTTTCTCAAAGAACTTTAAATACATCACAAAAGCATATCTATCTATCTATCTATCTATCTATCTATCTATCTATCTATCTATCTATCTATCTATCTATCTATCTATCTATCTCAGTCTGTTCATTATCTATCTATCTATCTATCTATCTATCTATCTATCTATCTATCTATCTCAGTCTGGTCATTATCTATCTATCTATCTATCTATCTATCTATCTATCTATCTATCTATCTATCTATCTATCTATCTATCTATCCTTCTCAGTCTGTTCATATCTCCCGTTTCACTCACTGTTGAGTCTGTTCATTATCTATCTATCTATCTATCTATCTATCTATCTATCTATCTATCTATCTATCTATCTATCTCAGTCTGTTCATTATCTATCTATCTATCTATCTATCTATCTATCTATCTATCTATCTCAGTCTGGTCATATCTATCTATCTATCTATCTATCTATCTATCAGTCAATATGGAGAATTTCAACATACGAATCCATGCCATTTTACATACGCACACACGCGGCCAAGGCTTATTCTTTGGCTCGTTCTCTTTCAAACGCGCGCACGCACACAAAAGCAGATCACTGCCAGGAACTAACGACATATCGTTCATTTTGAAATAAATTTTAAGGCCGGGCTTCACCCACCCATAACCGTTTTTCTCGACAGAAATGACTCATTTCAATGTTTCACTCTGAAAAGACGGATCTGTTTAGTGGCTAAGATAGTTGCATATTTATGGCTGGAACCAATAATCAATGTTCGCACCGAAGTAAAAACTTCGATACTGGAATGCTGATTTTCAAGGCAGACCCAGCCGGGTTGAAGAATTAACGCGATAAAATCTCCCTACTTTCATTTGAACGTATGAAAGATTGAAAGTTCACTTAGTAGGGGCACCTGGTTAGAATCAAACTCATTTGTGACGTGCAGATTGTCTGGTTGAGAAAGATTTTTAAAAAAATCCGTTCACTAATACTTTTGATAAAAAAAGAGGGGAAAGAGGAGGAGTAAAGTGAGAAAGAAGAGGAGGGGAAGGAAAGTGAAGAAGGAAGAAGAGGAAGAAGAAAAGAAGGAAGAAGAAGAGAACAATGAAGAAATGGAAGCAGAAAAGAAGAAGGAAGAAATGGAGAATGAAGAAGTGGAAGAAGAAAAGGAAGAAGAAAAGGAAGAAAAAAGGAAGAAGAAAAGGAAGAAGAAAAGGAAGAAAAAATGAAGAAGAAAAGGAAGAAGAAGCGGTGAATGAAAAAGCGGAAGAAGAAAAGGAAGAAGAAAAGAAAGAAGAAAGAAGCATCGGAATAAGTTGAAGAAGATTAGAATGAGGAGAAAGAAGAGGAAGAAGATGAGAAAGAAGAAGAGTAGTAAAAATGAAGAATCAGAAGGGGAGGAGGAAAATGAGGAGGAAGTCGAAGAAGAGAATTCTAATAACAAGAAGAGAAAGGAAGAAGAAGATGGGAAGTGATAAGAGTACGAATAAGAAATGGTAGAACGGGAGGAGGATGGTGAAGAGAGAGAAGTGGTGGAAGAGAAGAAGAAGAAAAAGAAGAAGATTAGTAGGAGGAAGAGGAGAATTAAGATAAAAAGGATTGATTAGTTCGTTTTATACAGATTATCAACACTGTCGGTTATTTAAAGCCAGGAAATATTTTAGTGTGTTAGAAATGGTGGGGGGATAATAATGATTTTAGTGATACAAGTCTTACTAATTAACCCATAGCTGGGGAGATTGAGTGTATTCATATAATAAGAATTTGATAAACAAACAAGAAATTATAATATTTGATATAAAGTGGGGGATCAAATGTGTAGCAAATCAGCATTTCCCCGATTGATACGTTTTTTTATGGCTTATCAACCCTCTGGAGGTTATTGAAAGACAAAAAATAATTTTATAGTGTAAGATTTTTATTTAGATGATAATCATACTAATTAACCCATAGCTAGTGGAGAAGAGGTGGATTTTTACCTTTCCCAATGCTTTCTGCGCGGAAAAAACAAAAATGACCCAACTGGAAATAGAACCCGGCTCTCCGATTAACAATTTCGAGCCATTATCCATTACACCACCTGCACATCCAATCTTACAGGACCTAGTATTTCCAAGCGGACCCCCTCTGTAAGCTTTGACCAGTATCGACGTTGCTTAACTTCGGTGAATGGTTTTTCAACGTGAGTTGGCCGTCAGTCCAAAATAAAAAGGAGGAGGAGAAGAAAGAAGAGTAAGAAGAGGTTGAGGGAGAGTGAAGCGGTGCACAATAATGAAGAGGAAGTAGAGAAATAGTACGAGGAGGAGGAACAATGAGGAGGAGGGAGAGTAAGGAGGAGAAAGAAGAAGAGAATAAGGAAGAGAAAGAAGAAGAAATTGAAGAGAAGGAGGAGGTGGAAGAGAATGAAGTGGAGGAAGATAAGGAAGAAGAGAGAGAAGAGGAAGAGAATGAGGAGGAGGAGAAAAAAGAAGAGTAAGAAGAGGTTGAGGGAGAGTGAAGCGGTGCACAGTAATGAAGAGGAAGTAGAGAAATAGCACGAGGAGGAGGAACAATGAGGAGGAGGGAGAGTAAGGAGGAGGAAGAAGAAGAAGAGTAAGAAGAGGTTGAGTGAGTGTAAAGCGGATACGCAATAATAATTTATACCACTGTGAATGGCGGTGCATTTTCTTAGACAAAAGTGTTAATCTGATAAGAAAGCATTGTTGTTACAAACTTTGCACAGACTCCTTCTCTTTATTTGTGTATTCGCCTGTAAGATACTGAAGCCGAACCGTAATATATTGTCATGTATTTTATTGGCTCGCATCTAGACAATAAAATACATGACAATACAGAAGTTGGTAATACCTACGGAATATCAAACCAAAAATAAAATTACATAGATTCTTACGCAATTCTTGTTCAATGAGTTGTTTTTGATGAAGAACTTCGATCGAAACCTAATAAAGATCTTGCTTAAGTTATCTCTATAGCTGCGCCAGGGCCAAGTGTGTTTTAGAATTCAAAGGTGTCTTTCTAGACTGATTGGGAACAACGGCTAGAAAACCGCGTCTACTCTACTATTTAACCCACAGCTGGGGAGAAGAATTGGATTCATATCTTTTCCACCTGTGTTTATTTGCGCGTAAGTGAATGCAAAAATCTCGACTGGAATTCAAACTCTATTTCCGAGCTGCTATCCAATGCGCCACCAGAATATGAAATATCATACATGAAATATCATACAAATTCATTTATCAATCATTTTTTTTTTTACAGAAAAGCGTAACATTTCTATTTATCTATTTTCACTCAGGAGTATTTTCCACATCCTCAGAAAAGTTTTATATATGTAACAGGTTATGGGCCTATGCTTCTGGAATTGTACATTCTCATAGACTCACAGAACCCTACATATTTTGCAATGATTACTATTTGATATTCTGAAGCTCTTACTGCGAGTTTATTGAGTTCTACACCTGCGACGAAAATCTAGTTTTTCAGGGTCTCCAATTGATCTGGTTACACATTTTAACTGGACATGAAATGAAAGTTTACAGGCGTATAGACAGTTCCCTAACCAAACAAATAGATCTATTACCTTGGGGTTTCAGATACTCCAGATGAGTGAAGGGTAGTTCTGGAAGAGAATTTACGAGCAAAACATTCTGTTCTATCAGCAGAATTTGGTAACACCTCAAATTGAGTGAAGGGAGTTTGAAGAGAAGACTTACTCTTATTTAACACACTATCGCACAGCCGCCAGTATTCATGGGAGCTAAAATTGTTAGAGGCTATACAAGCGTCATTTTGTCAGCAAACATTCTTTCTTTGCATTTTATGTACTTAAGCAGGTATATAAACGCAAGCAGCTAGATTTGAACAGACTGAGATAGATGGATAGATATGAACAGATCGGGATAGATATGAGCAGACTGAAATAGATAGATAGATAGATAGATAGATAGATAGATAGATAGATAGATAGATATGAACAGGCTGAGATAGATAGATAGATAGATAGATAGATAGATAGATAGATAGATAGATTGGGAGAGAAAGATAACGAACAGACTTAAATAGATAAGAACAGAATAAGATGGACAGATATGAAGAAATGACGGCAGTTAGATACATTATGAACTGACGTAGAGTGATAGATATTAAATATGAAAAAATTGAGATAGGTAGATACATAGAATCAAGATCCGACTCAGATAGATAGACAGATAGACAAAAAAAAAAAACTCAGATAGATAGATAATGAATAGACTGCGATAGATAGATAGATAGATAGATAGATAGATAGATAAAAGTGAGGTAGATTGATATAAATAGACTGAGATAGATTAAAAAACAGACTGAGATAGATAGAGAGAAAAAACTGAGATAGATAGATAGATAGATAGATAGATAGATAGGTAATGAATAGACTTAAATAATGAACAGACTTAGATAATGAATAGACTGAGATTGATAGATAGATAGATAGATAGATAGATAGATAGATAGATATAAACGGATACAGATAGATAGGATCAGACTGTGGTAGATAGATAGATAGATAGATAGATAGATAGATATAAACGGATACAGATAGATAGGATCAGACTGTGGTAGATAGATAGATAGATAGATAGATAGATAGATAGATAGATAGATAGATATAAACGGATACAGATAGATAGGATCAGACTGTGGTAGATAGATAGATAGATAGATAGATAGATAGATAGATAGATAGATAGATATAAACGGATACAGATAGATAGGATCAGACTGTGGTAGATAGATAGATTGATAGATTAAATAATTATAAAAATTGCTCTCACTTGTATACATCCATATGTAGTTATATAAATATTTGCGTATCAATGTATTATCATGTGTGTATTTATACAGACATGTGCACAAACCCGTGTGCCCATAATGAATTTTATACATACGGTATTTATACAAAGAAAGTACCATAATATAAACTTTTTTTTAATCATTTATGATAAATGGAAAAATATCTGATCTTATTTAAAAGCGAAAACTGATGTGAAATTAATTCTGAAATTTATATATTTTTATTTCAAAGGACTGAAAAGTCCCTGAGTAGAAATTGCGTATTCTTAACTTGAAAATAATAATGAAATTATAATTTCAAATTTTCTTGCGACACGAAAGATGGAATAAAAAAACGGATGCATTAAAAAGATTATAAACATTTCAGTCCGATTTTTTTTTGTGGTTATGTTTGTTGCTGTAAGTCGTCGGTACGAGATTTTTATTCGGACAACTACTTTAACTAATGAGTCACGATCCCAATCAAAAGTTCCGTAACCACTGAGGAACGTAGTGATTCCATATGTATTGCAGCTGTGTGTCTTGGGCAAGATAACTTTACGGAGGCCAACCCTCTACAAGCGCCATGAATTAAAAGTCTTCTTTCTCCTACACTGGTTGCCAACCATGAGCCCAGTCTATCTAACTATTTACTCATAGCTGCGGTACGGGGTAGGGGTGTGAATTAATACCTTTTGTAAATGAATGTACGTATGTTTGTATGTTGGTTTGATAAGCGTCATATCAACTCCTTATGGGTCATTTGATGCCGAAATTTAATTTTAATAGGAGCATTAGTAATTTCTTTTGCAAAAATGTATTGCTGGCAATTTTGTTCTTTTCATTTTAGAAAAATGTATTGCTGGTAATTTTCTTACTATGAAAATCCATTGCTGGTATTTTTAGCATAAAAAATAAATTTCTATATGTTGTAACCTAAGGAAGGTTACTGAATAGAATAATCAAACGAAGGTTGGTAATGAACGATAATACTTAGAACAAGAACAACACATATAAGACTCTCCAGCGGCGCGTAGAAGTAGTAGTCAACTGCTAGAATTGAGTCAAGTGAATTCTACAATGAATCTCCAACTGCAGACCAACATACAGTATTTACTACTGTATTTATGTGAATGAGGACATATCCATTATCATCCGTAGGTATGTTACAACACTATACCTTCATAGTGTTTTGAGGCCAGTTTGGGAGTTAACTATTTGTCCATAGCTGGGACCCTAACAGGTCAGAGTGGACCTACGAACATCTAAGAGGTGGTTCCACGCTCCTCAAAACCTCAGAGACCTTGCTGACGGATGTAATTTATCGTCATAACCAGGACCCCCTCCCCTGATCAGAGGCCTTGTTGCTGGATGTAGTTTATCGTCATACCCAGGACCTTCTCCCCCCGAGCAGAGGCTTTGCTGCTGGACGTAGTTTATCGTCATACCCAGGACAGGTAAGTGAATGCAACAATGTCGACTGGAATTCGAACTTCTAATTCCGAGCTGCTATCCATTGCACCACCCGCACATTGACAAGCCAGAATGTTAATCTACCGCCTCGCTCTCGATTGTTCTGCAAATATATAAAACAAGAGTACATCTTTAGAATTCAGGGTGACTTATTTTTACAATTATATTCACTCTGTAGAAAACCAGAAAATCCTTCGAGGTCGAGGGTTACATAGTAAGAGGCGCAGTTCATGCAGATATATGCGGAAGATGACGGTTAGTGACAGTGGGAAGTACTCCCTTGAGAGTCAGTTCCACGATACAGCGCTTGGCGGGAAGAAGCTGCAAGAGTGGAAATTACTTCACACCAATCAGCTACGAGTATTTATGGGAGTCAAAGTCATTCTATCAACAATCTTTGTTTGTGTTTTATGCAGTTAAGTAGGCATACAAACGATTGATAGATCTTTCTATATTTTTGAGATGAGGTATTATGTAAATTATTTACATTATTCGGACTATTGTCCTCATCTTTGTTGCCATATTTATTACAACGTTTCGGCCTTTCAGTATCTGTCTATATTTTTGAGATGAGGTATTATGTACATTATTTACATTATTCGGACTATTGTCCTCATCTTTGTTGGCATATTTATTACAACGTTTCGGCCTTTCAGTATCTGTCTATATTTCTGAGATGAGGCATTATGTACACTATTTACATTGTTCAGACAATTGTCCTCATCTTTGTCGCCATATTTATTACAACGTTTCGGCCTTTCAGTATCTGTCTATATTTCTGAGATGAGGTATTATGTAAACTATTTACATTATTCGGACTATTGTCCTCATCTTTGTTGCCATATTTATTACAAGGTTTCGACCTTTCGGTATCTGTCTATATTTCCGAGATGAGGTATTATGTACACTATTTACATTGTTCGGACTATTGTCCTCATCTTTGTCGCAATATTTATTACAAGGTTTCGACCTTTCGGTATCTGTCTATATTTCTGAGATGAGGTATTATGTAAACTATTTACATTATTCGGACTATTGTCCTCATCTTTGTTGCCATATTTATTACAAGGTTTCGACCTTTCGGTATCTGTCTATATTTCTGAGATGAGGTATTATGTAAACTATTTACATTATTCGGACTATTGTCCTCATCTTTGTTGCCATATTTATTACAAGGTTTCGACCTTTCGGTATCTGTCTATATTTCCGAGATGAGGTATTATGTACACTATTTACATTGTTCGGACTATTGTCCTCATCTTTGTCGCCATATTTATTACAACGTTTCGGCCTTTCAGTATCGGTCTATATTTCTGAGATGAGGTATTATGTAAACTATTTACATTATTCGGACTATTGTCCTCATCTTTGTTGCCATATTTATTACAACGTTTCGGCCTTTCAGTATCTGTCTATATTTCTGAGATGAGGTATTATGTACACTATTTACATTGTTCGGACTATTGTCCTCATCTTTGTCGCCATATTTATTACAACGTTTCGGCCTTTCAGTATCGGTCTATATTTCTGAGATGAGGTATTATGTAAACTATTTACATTATTCGGACTATTGTCCTCATCTTTGTTGCTATATTTATTACAACGTTTCGACCTTTCAGTATCTGTCTATATTTTTGAGATGAGGTATTATGTACACTATTTACATTATTCGGACTATTGTCATCTCCTTTGTCGCTATATTTATTACAACGTTTCGGCCCTTCAGTATCTGTCTAGATTTCTGAGTTGAGGTATTATGTACACTATTTACATTATTCGGACTATTGTCCTCATTCTTGTTGCCATATTTATTACAAGGTTTCGACCTTTCAGTATCTGTCTATATTTCTGTGATGAGGTATTATGTACACTATTTACATTATTCGGACTATTGTCCTCATCTTTGTTGCCATATTTATTACAACGTTTCGGCCTTTCAGTATCTGTCTATATTTCTGAGATGAGGTATTATGTACACTATTTACATTATTCGGACTATTGTCCTCATCTTTGTTGCCATATTTATTACAACGTTTCGGCCTTTCAGTATATCTCTATATTTCCGAGATGAGGTATTATGTACACTATTTACATTGTTCGGACTATTGTCATCACCTTTGTCGCTATATTTATTACAACGTTTCGGCCTTTCAGTATCTGTCGATATTTCTGAGATGAGGTATTATGTACACTATTTACATTATTCGGACTATTGTCCTCATCTTTGTTGCCATATTTATTACAACGTTTCGGCCTTTCAGTATCTGTCTATATTTCTGAGATGAGGTATTAGGTACACTATTTACATTGTTCGGACTATTGTCCTCATCTTTGTTGCTATATTTATTACAACGTTTCGGCCTTTCAGTATCTGTCTATATTTCTGAGATGAGGTATTAGGTACACTATTTACATTGTTCGGACTATTGTCCTCATCTTTGTTGCCATATTTATTACAACGTTTCGGCCTTTCAGTATCTGTCTATATTTCCGAGATGAGGTATTATGTAAACTATTTACATTATTCGGACTATTGTCCTCATCTTTGTTGCCATATTTATTACAACGTTTCGGCCTTTCAGTATCTGTCGATATTTCTGAGATGAGGTATTATGTACGCTATTTACATTATTCGGACTATTGTCCTCATCTTTGTTGCCATATTTATTACAACGTTTCGGCCCTTCAGTATCTATCTATATTTCCGAGATGATGTATTATGTACACTATTTACATTGTTCGGACTATTGTCATCTCCTTTGTCGCTATATTTATTACAACGTTTCGGCCCTTCAGTATCTGTCAATATTTCTGAGTTGAGGTATTATGTACACTATTTACATTATTCGGACTATTGTCCTCATCTTTGTTGCCATATTTATTACAACGTTTCGGCCTTTCAGTATCCTTCTATATTTCTGAGATGAGGTATTATGTACACTATTTACATTGTTCGGACTATCATCCTCATCTTTGTCGCCATATTGTTATAACGTTTCTACCGTTGTACGCTCTGGTCTTCTTCAGATGAACCCTTCCACGTGTCATGTCTAATGGATATCAGTTATCAGTTATCTTCTGTTAATTCCCCTCTCAAACTTCACCGCCTTAACCAGGTATTGAACTCACACTCTTTTGGGTCCTGCCACTGGATCTAACTAACGCCTTTGTCCCCTGTATCATGTGTCCTCATATGGCATAGTGGATAAAGGAACTCGAACAGTCTACCCGAGTGAGCGAAATAAAGGGTTCAGATCGACATTCCAACCACCTAAACAAGGCCGAAGCGTACAACGGCCGAAACATTGTGATAAATATGTCAACAAAGATGAGGACGATAGTCCGAACAGTGTAAATAGTGTAGATAGATAGATATGAACAGACTGAGATATGAAGACTGAGATAGATAGATAGATAGATAGATAGATAGATAGAAAGCAATATAGATAGATATGAACAGACAGTGATAGATTGATATAAACAGATTGACAGACAGATAGGTAGATAGATGTTAACAGACTGCTGCCTAAATACGCACACACGCATATACACACGCACACATATATAGAGAGAGATAGCGAGAGAGAGAGACAAACCGACAGATAGAGTGAGAGAGACAGACAGACAGATAGACAGATAGAGTGAGTGAGACAGAGAGAGATAGAGTGAGTGAGACAGAGAGAGAGAGAGAGAGAGAGAGAGAGAGAGAGAGAGAGAGAGAGAGAGAGAGGGATAAATATGAACAGACTAAGATAGAAATACATAAAGACATAACCAGATTAACATAGATAGACAGACAGATAGGTGGATAGATATATAGATATAAATGCACAGACTGAGATAGATAGATAGATAATGAACAGACTGGGATAGATTGATATAAACAGATTAAGACAGACAGATAGATAGATCTTAACAGACCGCTGACTAAATACGCACACACACATGTACACACACGCACACATAGAGAGAGGGCGAGAGAGAGAGAGAGAGAGAGAGAGAGAGACAGACAGACAGATAGAGTGAGAGAGAGAGAGAGGGGGGGAGATAAATATGAACAGACTAAATAGAAATACATATAGATATAACCAGACTAACATAGATAGATAGATAGATATGAATAGACTGAGATAGATAGATAGATAGATAGATATATTAATAGACTGAAATAGATAGATAGATAGATAGATAGATAGATAGAGATATGAATAGACTGAGATAGATAGATAGATAGATAGATATTAATAGACTGAGATAGATATGAATAGACTGAGACAGATAGATAGATAGATAGATATGAATAGACTGAGATAGATAGATAGATAGATAGATAGATAGATATGAATAGTCTTAGATAGATAGATAGATATAGACTGAGATAGATAGATAGATAGATAGATAGATAGATAGATAGATAGATAGATAGATAGATAGAGATATGAATACACTGAGATAGATAGATAGATATGAGTAGACTGAGATAGATAGATAGATATGAATAGACTTAGATAGATAGATAGATAGATAGATAGATAGATAGATAGATAGATAGATAGATGAAATACAAAAGAAAAGAGGTGGGCTTCATTACAATCCTTTCATATTGACGGAAAATATTCGTGAATATGAAAGGTTTATAATAGCAGACATAATGTTTGTAATTTCTTCAATCAGACGACATGCCTAAAAGAGAATTTGCTGTTTAAGCACACACACATACACACACGCACACACACACACACACACACACACACACACACACAAATATATATACAACCTCTTTTCCTACATGCAAAACGTCGCAACCTATCCTGCTCCATTGTTATTTTCATGGAAAGTGCTCAGACGAACTACAGTTCTTAGTTCCACCATTACTAACCTTCATGGCTAAGACCTGCCATGACAGGAACATTGTAGTGAAACACCCTTATTCCCTTTGTATTTCATCTATCTATCTATCTATCTATCTATCTATCTATCTATCTATCTATCTATCTTTTTGTTTCTAACGTGATTATCCTGTTTCTTAATGCTTTGCATAACTTTTTGAAGGAATCTTTCACTATCCTAATGAGCCTTTGGATTTTGGTGTCGCACTTTCTGTCTTCTGTTAAAACACTTCCAAGATATTTAAACATTATGTACTTGCTTGACGGGCTCTTCTTTTTGCTGATAACCATGCATTCTATCTTCTTAAAATTGATGTTTAGTCCTTTCTTCATGCTTTCCTTCACTACCTTCTGTTGTAATATGCAATACACGCACCTTCCCTATATGCACAGATAATGTGGATTCATTAACTCACAATTTTTGAGTGGCACCTAGGTCTTGCATTGAGCAAACATAGTATAATGTACCAATGTTTATGGGACAGAGGTAGTCTATTATTATTTATATAAGCTTACTTCTGTCCCATGATAATTGTTCCATTTGCCCATATATTTCATACAGTAAATGTATCAATTATTATGGGACAGGAATAGTCTATTATTATTACTTCTGTCCCATAATTTCATACATTAAATGTACCAATCATTATGTAATCTATTATTCTTTATATAATACTACTTCTGTCCCATAATAATTGTTACATTTTCCTATACATTTCATACACTATATGTACCAAACATTATGGGACAGAAGTAGTCTATTATTATTATGAGATTTCCATTTCAAGATCCTTGTATTTTGAAAGATTTTTGAAGATTTCAAAGATACATTACGATCTGAAGGGACTGCCATGTCAATAAGAAAACCCATTCTGTTTTGTGGTCTTTTATCACGATATCTGGCCGATTAGCATTGATTGTTGTTTGTGTGTATTTTAAAGTCCCATGAAATTATTTCATGCCCTATCTTTGTAAGCGGGTCTGGGTGATATTCATAGCAGTTTCTTACGGTTTCCTTCCCGTAAAAGTTACATATTTTCCAGTACATATATTGGCCCACTCTGTCATGCCGGATTTTATATTCAGTGGGTGCCAACACTAAAGAACCTGATACAAGATGGTCAACTGTTTCTGGTTAACACAATTTTTCAGTCTATATGCTTGGTAATTTCTAGTTAGCAAGCATTGGTCCTGTGCAGCAAGAATAAAACCTTAGGTTTCAGCTTTTAATCCTGCATTACATAACCACTGATGTGTAGGGGGTTTGTCTACATCAAATTGGTACGGGCAGAGTATTGATCATGAAGAGGCTTATCTTGCCATCCTTTCTGCATTTGGTCCATTGTATTTGCTTTTGCTTTCATTATTAGCTTCTTTACCGCTGCTGTTGGCGTATTATGGTCTACTTACACTTCTTCCATTACTTGAAATTCCCTTTTGAATTTGTTCGCTTCCTTTATTACTGGATAAAGTTTCTTATTTTTTTCATGTTCTTTGACACAAACCATAATCCAGTCTTGTATAGTTCCCAGGTATCTTCGAATGCCAATTGTTGTCGTTTTGTAAGACAGTTCTAGTCGAACTAATCCTCTACCTCCTTCAGAGCTGGTCACATACAGACAAGCATCGGCCTTACGATGATGCATGCAGCGGCAAGTGAGAAGCTTTCTGGTTTTGACACCCATTCGCTTAATGTAAGATGGTCCAATTAAGAATGTTGAAGTTAATCTGTCACAGAGACAGCCAAAGTGTTTATTATTATTATTATTATTATTATTATTATTATTATTATATTTTTTCATTCCTTTTCTCATCTTATTCGGCTTTCCAATTTTCTCTTGTCTTCTCCTTTTTACACTCTTTTCTTCATTTTCACGCCTTTCACGAGTTTCTTCCTGTTTATTTTTTATTATTTTCCTTATTATTTTTTCTATTTCTTCCTATTTTTCTTCTTATTTTCTATTTTGATATCATCTTGCCAAAGTGTAATTTTGAGTACCTAATTACCAAGTTACCTCAGGGGTCTATGAGTAAAAAAGTGTGACTATAGGGGAGTTATCTATTCATATATATATATATATATATATATATATATATATATATATATATATATATATATATATATATTATGCTTATAATACCCAGAAATCCACACACAGATGTCATCAAGGACACATGGCACAGTGGAGAGGAAAGGCGTTAGTGACAGGACCCAAAGAGTGTGAGTTCAATACCTGGTCAAACAGTGGAGAACTTGGAGAGGTGAATTAACAGGAGATAACTGATATCCATTAGACATGGCACGTGGAACTAGAACAGTCTACCCCAGTGAGCGTAATAAAGGGTTCAGTTCGATATTCCAGTCGGCCGAAATGTTGTGATAAATATGGCAACAAAGATGAGGACGATAGTCCGAACAATGTAAATAGTGTACATTATACCTCATCTCAGAAATATAGATAGATACAAGGAGAGGAATTAAACAAATATATTAACAGAAACAGTAATACAAAACATATACAAACAAGCAAGAATGTTCGGTCTGACTGTCAGAGCTGACTGCTGGAAACTTCCCTCTTCTATTTATAGCTGGGAGAGTCCATTCGTGCGTGGGTAAATTACCATGATAGATAGATAGATAGATAGATAGATAGATAGATAGATAGATAGATAGTGTTGTGGCCTTGTTAGGGCCAGAAATAAAAACACAAAGAGAGGGATTGAGTTAAACAAATATATTAACAGAAACAGTACTACAAACGAGAGAGTTATAGCAAGAATGTTCGGTCTGACTGTCAGAGCTGAATGCTGGAAAGTTCCCTCTCCAAAAGGCAGTACCTGCTCCTATTTATAGCTGGGAAAGTCCATGCATGTGTTGGTAAATTACCATAACAACATTTGGGACGTTTTGTTTATGTGGAGACGGTTTTGCGAATGGTATGTGCAGTTCCGTACAAAGTCATCTTTTGAAGTTCTGAGATGTTGATGTGTCCAGGAATTTTACTCACGTGTTTTGTCTGTACCCTTCTTTATCGTACCCGACTCCCCAATCACAACAGGGATAATTGTAGTTTAAAGTTTTCACATTTTTATTTCTTCGATTTGAAGATGTTTGTAATTTGACTGTTTTAGAAATTCTCTTTAAAAATTATTGGAATCATGTCGACAATTCATATCAATTAGTTGGTTGGTTTCTTTAATATTTTTTATTTTATTTCCTTTGAATTCTGGTGACCTAAGGCCAAAAATGGCATCATGATATTTTCCATTGAGCAATTAAAAAAATATTTTACATCGATAAAGCCCTTCGTAAGATGTAGGCTGTACTCGTGAGAACAATTTTTGTATTTCTTTAAGGCGTGGGTTTCCAGAAATTCCTTCAATGAGTTTTCTAATCATTTGGAGAGATCCAGCTACAACCGACATAGATAAAGCCCATTGTAAGATGTAGGCTGTACTCGTGAGAACAATTTTTGTATTTCTTTAAGGCATGGGTTTCCAGAAATTCCTTCAATGAGTTTTCTAATCATTTGGAGAGATCCAGCTACAACCGACATAGATAAAGCCCATTGTAAGATGTAGGCTGTACTCGTGAGAACAATTTTTGTATTTCTTTAAGGCATGGGTTTCCAGAAATTCCTTCAATGAGTTTTCTAATCATTCGGAGAGATCCACTTACAACCGCAATTATTGATGTCCTCATGTCCTTGATTTGTCATGTGCATCAAAGATATATTACAGTCTTCAGGGACTGCCATATCAATAAGAAGACACATTTTATTTTTGTGTTCTCTCTCATCACAATATATGGGTGATTACCTTTGATTGTTCTGTCTGTGTGTATTGTAAAGTCCCGAAAAATCGTTACAGCACCTAATCTTCATAACTGGGTCAGTTTTCAATTTCCTGCAGTTTCTTTTCTGTAAAAGTTGCCCATCCTGGGTATGACGATAGACTACATCCGGCAGCAAGGCCTCCGATTAGGAGGTTTTGAGGAGCGTGGAACCACCTCTTACTTGTTGGTGTTCCTAGGTTCACTTTGATCCGGGGTAGTACCACTAGTTAGTGTCCCAGCTATGGGCAAATAGTTAACATCAAAACTTGTGTAAAAATAGGTTTTGATACCAGAAATCCATTGTAATAAAAAAGAAATTATTCCTAGCAATAATTTTTAAAGGAAAAATTATTATCAGCAATACTTAAAGTACTTGTTATGAGATAAAACAATATCGATGAAAGTACAGTTAGCGTTTTTTGCTAAAATGTGAACTTGCAGCCTGGAATTTTTCATTTATCTTCTTTAAAAATATGATTAATGAAAAATGGTTCAAATATATATGTATACATACGCACTTTTTTTAACCAAACTATCGCTATGAAGTTATTTCAAAATTTTTCTTGACATTAAATGACCCACTGAGGTTTTGATATGCCGTAAAACAAAACAACCAACCAACCAAAAATAGGAGTAATTGAAAAATGATTCATATATATATATATATATATATAAACATGCACCTTTTTTACCAAACTATCCCTATGAATCTATTTCAAAATTTTGTTGGCACTGAGGTTTTGATATGCCAAAAAACAAAACAACCAACTAACCAAAAATAGGAGTAATTGAAAATGATTCAAATATATATATATATATATATATATATATATATATATATATATATATATATATATATATATATACCTTTTACCAAACTATCGCTATGAATCTATTTCAAAAATTTTGTTGGCGTTAAATGACCCACTGAGGTTTTGATATGCCATAAAACAAAATAAACCAACCAACCAACCAAAAATCCGTAAAACTTGCAGATTTTTCAATGCAGTTATTGGCCCACTCTGTCATGCCGGGTTCTATATTCAGTGGGTGACAATATCGTATTATTATTATTATTATTATTATTGTATTTCCTGGAGTGTACTTATTTCTTTCCGGTCCCAGCCAGAGACCTAACTTCAGAAATGGCATCATGACATTTTCCATTGAGCAATTAAAAAAAATCACACATATTTTACATAGATAAAGCCCTTCGTAAGGTTTGTGCTGTCCTCGTGAGTTCAATTTTTTAGCATTTCTTTAAGGCATGGGCTACCACGGAATCCCTTCAATGAGTCTATCTGAGCCTTTTCCAATCAATACGAGGGCTCAAACTCTAACTGGGATTGTTGATGTTCTCATGTGCTACATTTTGGAGATTTCGATTTCAAGGCCCTTGTATTACTTATTATTATTATTATTATTATTATTATTATTATTATTTCATTTGATTTGTATTTTAAACTCATTTTCGCCCGAATCCCAATCAAACAACCATTTTCCCTGAAAAATAGGTGATCTGTGCTTGTAAGACCCTTTTTGTGCATTTCCTTAAGACATCGGTTGACAGAGATCCCTTTATTTTTCTGCAATTTATTTAAAAAAAATCTTATTTCTTCTTGCAATAAAAAAATAAAAATCTTTGAATCCTTCAAAAATATGCTTTGCATAAAATAACTTCGTATCTATGTATTGTCCTATAATATTTGTAACATTTATTGCACCAACAATAGATTTTATGATCTACAAAATATATATCTAAAAAAAACATACCTTTACTCTGAAAGCATAAAATTACGTACAAAATATTTATATTTCGGCATTGAACAATCCATGGAGTTTGATATGCTGCCAAACAATATCAACCAATCAAACAACTAAAGAACACTTTCATGATATTAATCCAAATAATATCCTAAAATTTCTTAAATCAAACTGTATTCTAAAATATAACTTCAACAAAACTACAACATAAAACAAATATATCACTGCCTCTAAGAGTTACGAACAGACAAACATGTACATGTACAAAAGCTGAGTATCATTTACCATGTATTCAATTGTGAAAGCAGAATAACATATCATGTTTTTATTACTTCAAAGGTTTAAGTCCCACATAAGCACAAATAGAAATTCCATGCAAGAAGAATTACATTTTATTTACAAAAGCAAAATGGAGAAAATATAAATCCTGACTAATGACTACACAGCTGCTGGTGTCTATCTATAAATTTGTTATGTCGACTCCCGATTGGGAGATTCGAGATGTTGAAGAACGTGCAACCACCTCTTAATTGCTGTCTTTATATTAAAATTACATTAAAATACATATTATGATCCGCAAATTATATATCTAAAAAACACATTTACTTTGAAAGTATAAAATTATGTACAAAATATTTAGATTTCGACATTAAATAACACCTAGAGGTTGATATGCCGCTAAGAAAAATCAACTAATCAACCAATTATGACTGTGTTCGTTTTAGACGACATTAAAAAAGGGGAAGAATAATTAAGAAGGTCTTTTTCTTCTTCTTCTTCTTCTTCTTCTTCTTCTTCTTCTTTCGTATGATTTATATTGTATACACATTTTTTCCTGGGCCCCAACCAGAAACCTTTCACTTTCTGCGTTATCCACTGTTTCTTTCATTCCTTGTTTTTTTATTTCACTCTTTTTCTCTTACCCACTTCTCTTTCTTTCTTTCTTTCTTCCTTTCTTTCTTTCTTTCTTTCTTTCTTTCTTTCTTACGCACTCTTTGTTTGTTTCTTACACACTTTTCTTTCTTTCTTTCTTTCTTTCTTTCTTTCGTTCTTTCTTTCTTTCTTTCTTTCTTTCTTTCTTTCTTTCTTAAACACACTTTCTTTCTTTCTTTCTTTCTTTCTTTCTTTCTACTCCCAAATGCTGAATTCGATTCACTGGGTGCTCCATAATCATGTTCTTGTGTCAAACTAAATTAAGCTTACTAAATAATATTCTAATGCTTTCTTGTAATTTAAGGGGGCAACTTAGCTGACTATTACAAATGTGTAGTAAGTTTAATTCTCATTAGGTGCTCCATATTTACTGCCTTGTGCCAAACTAAACTGGGCTTAATAAATAACAACATTTTGATGATTTAATATCGGCCAGGAGTAAGTTGTAGCGAACTGACAATTTTTACTGTCCAACATTGAGTCAAACCCTCACTGGGTGCTTCATAGTTAACATTCTATTTACGTCAATATTTTGTCAGTTGCACTCAGTCAGTGTGGGTGTGAAGCGGCCTGGTCGATCCCCGGTCAGAAAACTCGGACCCTATATTCTCCTGGGATAAGACTCTCCAAAACATCTCTGAGTGTTGTATTTTTTTTTTTTTTATCCATCTGTCAAACATTATTGTTCTCACGCTCGCAATAACAAAAACAGGTTTGAGGTTACGTACTTCTGTATTCGGTGGTCGGTAGTAACCCCGTGACAAAACTTTCACCTGACATCTTTTTCAAAATTTGACGTGAAATGAGCGCATCGTCTATTCACTTATAACACAAAAGAAGCAGCATCAAAGCTGTATCAATAATATATATAATTCCGAGCATGTGAAAACTGTAAGTACCTGCAGAACAGGGCTGATGATGGTTGATAGATGTGGTAACTACATAACAACACTAGTACCGACCTTACTAAATACTCTACGGTCACACCTAATTTGGATAAAGACAAAGGTTTGGCAGGTTAAGTGATGTTCCGTCTCGCTCGTTTTAATGTCGTGTGTTCTGCGTTGTTATAAAGTATTCACTTTTCATTGTCTGGATCTATTTTCTCCAACGTCAAGTACTTTCATTACGTTTATGAAGCGAATCAGAAATACAATCCACTACGGTTCTTTTTGCTTGTGTGGATGATACACACTAAAGCGACTAACATAGCCAAGCGAGTGAAGAAGCTTTTCATTACTTCTTTTTGGTATTCTGAGCATATAGCTTATCTTCACCGTCGTACAATTCTTGCTATTCTTAAATAATATCTTGATTTGCACGCTATCAATCTCAATTTGTCTACACAATTGTGGAGCATCGTTTGGCGAAAAATCTTCCACATGAAATATTGCAAATCACTAATGACACATTTGATTATTTACATTCCCTTTTCAATAAAATATGGAAATCTATTGATACAGCTTTAGTGCTCTTTCTTTTGTGTTATAAGGGAATAGACAATGCGCTCATTTCACGCCAAATTTTGGAAAAGATGTCACATTTGTCACAGGGTTACTACCGACCACCGAATGCAGAAGTACGTAACCTCAAACATATTTTTGGTAGAGGCGTGAATCGCATTTTAATTTTTCTTAACTCCTTGCCCCACCCCCCACCAAAGTAATTTTTCGAAAATATTGCACATTTTCTTCGATCTTAAATTTTACAATCAATAAGAAAAACAACAATATTTTGACAATTTAAATTAAATGCACGCTAGTCCATTACGAGAAAGAGCGATCGTTTTGAATATCGGTTATTAAAACTAAACTCTCCTTATGCCATCTAACAAAAAACGATAATAAACATTTGGGTAATCCATACAAAAAACTAGACTAAATCCATCGGATTAAAACTGAACGATTAACAGAGTATATATTAATGCATATAATCGATCCTAACCTGTCATCTCGACTTCAGTCACTTTCTCACCAACGTGATATGGATTCCTTCTATCATTTCTAAAATTATTTTCTGCTCCGATGAACGTTTTTTTTCTGGTGCCCTGAACAGATGTATTTAAATGTGCTACTAGATAGGTATTTAGGTCCCATCCTTTTACTGTTGAAATAGCTAAATGCAACCACTACTTCCACTCGAACAGTTTCTTTTCTCGCACTTCCCGGATGTGAAACTCTCTTCCGTTTACTTGCTTCCCAGATAACTACAATCTTCAAAAATTTAAATGCAACGTCAATCGCCATCTACTATCTTCTAGAATTCCATTCTTTTTTGTCCTTTCCTCAATCCTCCCTATACTCAGTCTTTTCTTTCAGTTTCATACCTTATAATCCCCTGCGTACTTATGGCATTCCCGCCTGCTTGGAAGAAATTATTTAAATAATATATATATATATATATATATATATATATATATATATATATATATATATATATATATGTAAATAAATATATGGATATAGATCCGACAGTATGAAGAAAAATATACTGAAAAAAAAAAAAAAAAAAAATCCTAATATGCGATTATGCTGTTTTAATGTTTAATGTCAACGTCGGACGTTTCGGTCTAATAGACCATCTTCAGGACATATTCATAAAACATAATTAACATAGACCATATACAATTCAACATGAAAAAGACGATTGACATAAAAGCAATACCAATCCAAACAGATAACTGAAACCTTTTATAAGATCAGCGTTCCGTTTAAATATGATCACATCGTCGTCACGTGGGTGATGTTGTGAAAACGTATTCCTAAAATTTGTATATATATATATATATATATATATATATCTGGCCACTCGAAATTCGAGGATACCCGTCTATTAGGGTGGCTAGCCAATCTCTATTGTAGACGCTCGTTCAACACCCACAGAGCTTACTTGTGGCTTATACTGTAATTATGCTGAGCAGACCTTAGTTACAGTTTCTGGGAAAGAGCGTGTTATCTAGCGTAATCAGTAATTTGATCAAGGCCAGCATGCTCAAGCCCTCGGCCACGATGACTTGTGGCTTCGTGCTAGCACAGTTGTCGACACCCACAAGAGCTCTGTTTACCCAACTTCACTCACAAGGCTTGGGTCAACTCGCGGTATGGTTTTTCAGGCACTTTCCAAAGTTACCCATCCAGTTCGATACCATCAGGAAGTCACATGCTCGACAAATCGACCATGGTGAGATTTGAACTCGGGTCTCATGCCACGTGACCATCTGGATTAAGGTGACCCCAGCAAATACTCCTAAGTTTTCCACTGCACCACGTCGATTAAATAAAGGGTTCAGTTCGGAAATCCCTGTAGGTTAGCCAGATCTGAGGAAGGCCGGAGAGTTTAACGACCGAAATTTTGTGATCACAACAACAAAGATGAGGATAACAGTCTAAATATAAATAATGTAAATAATGATAACTCCTCATCCCAGAAATTCACAAAGAAATGTAAGGAGTGTAAATGTCAACTATTCGAACGAACTATTCGTTATGGTACCTAGAGTTTATGAATTTAAACGCATTACTTGGTTGGCGGTAAGGTCTCGTCAATTTGCAGTTGAAATGGCAAGATGCAACTGTAATTTCTATGCTAAAAGTTTCTTCTCTCGCACTTCTCGCTTGTGGAACTCTCTTCCGGTTCCATGCTTTCCAGTAAACTTTGATCTTTAAAAATTTAAATGCAATGTCAATGGCTATCTACTGTCCTCCTGATGATTCTTTTCTCTTCCCGCTCATTATTAATGTTTCTGTTCCTAATTCTTCTTGTGTAGCTGTAAGTTCTATGCTAAAAATTCCCAGTTCTTTATCTACTGTCTTCTTGATTCCTCTTCTATTGTTCTCACTCCTTAATAAATGTTTCTCTTTTTTCTTATTCTTTTACGCTCTGTGACCCCCTTATGTCATAGTGGCTTTATTTCCTTCTATGGGGTGATATGATTAAAATAAAAACAACAAAAGACGTATTTGCCGTGTCCCTTGGAATCGTTGGCCATCATGTCTCTCCATCATTTCCTGTTCTTTATCTACTGTCTTCTTGATTCCTCTTCTAAACCCTTGTGTCTTAGCGTCCTGGGTATGATGATAAACTACACCCGCTTCCTGGGTATGACGATAAACTACATCCAACAGCAAGGCATCTGATCGAGAGGTTTTGAGGATTTCTTACAAAGAATATATATTCTATTCATATTGAGGTTGATATGCCGTAAAACAAAATAAATTAAAACCAAACCGTGTGTCTTAGTGGCTTTACCATCTTACATGGTAACAAAAGAAAATCAAATAGTTATGAATAGATCGATAAACTGACTTTAATAGATGTATTGATGAATGATTGTTTATTGACAATAAGCGTGAAAAAATAGAAATATCTTCTTAGATTAGACAGATTGACATATCCCGGAGAAAAATAACAGTTATCCGAAATAAATAATTATAAAAAAAAAAACAAAAAAAAAAAACAAAAAAAAAATGGCCTAAAATAATATGGATGTTCTCTCTTAAATATTGGCGTCGAAATGTACTGCCGATCATCGAATATGCGTTCGTTCGTTTATGATTGAAATTACGTATACGGGTGCATGTGTAAGGAGAATAATAGTGGCAAATACTGAGCATACCGTATTAAAATATTCTATTCTCATTTCTTTCGGAAAATCACAAGTATTATGCAGATATTCCTCGTTGATATTCCAGTGTGAGATGATGCTCGTCTGCGTGTCTTTACGACACTGACACTGGCAACGACGATCCGGCTATTGATAAGCGGGGTATGAATCCTTTCTATTTGACGCGTACATGTCCCTTAGACAGAAATGGTACACAAGAGATTTCGTTGTAAATTGACTTTGTAGTGAAATCCTGATTGTTATCGAGATAACATGACGCTCCATTTGAGACAGATAAACGGTATTTTCACGCGGTGTTATTCATTAGACGATCGTCATGTCCTATCCAACACCTTCCTTTTCGTCTTTCTGCTTTTTCTTCCGATGTTTTTGGGCGAATGGGGTTAGAATGAACAGAAGAAGAAGAAGAAGAAGAAGAAGAAGAAGAAGAAGAAGAAGAAGAAGAATGAAATCAGAATGTGGTGGAAGAGAAGAAAGAGAAGCTCCCCCTATCCCCACCAGAAGAAGCCATAGAAAGGCGGGGTTGTGGGAAAGATGGAGGATTTGGGTAATGGAGGATAAAAGGTCATGGCGGGAGCTAGGGGTAAAAGGAAAGATCATAATGAAAGCTTGAAAATAAGGACATAAAAATAATGGGAGATAGATAGAAAGATTAAATAAGGGGTGAGAAAAGGAAAGAATGAAAGGGTGAGGAATAAGAGGAGAGGAAAGAAGAGAAAGAAAGAGAGTGGCAGGTATAAAGAGAGAAAAAAAAAAGGATAGACAGAAAGGGTAAGGAAGAAGGGGGAGCCTAGAAAAAGGGGTAAGGAATAAGGGGAGAGGAAAGAAAGAAAAGAGAGTGAAAGGAATAAAGGGAGAGGAAAGAAAGGACAGAAAGAAAGAGTAAGAAAGGAGAAGGAGGAAAGAAAGAGGAATAAAAAAATAAGGGAATGGGGAAGAAAGGAAAGAAACGGAGGGTACGGAATAAAGGGGAAAGAAAAGAAAAGAAAAGAAAAGAAAAGAAAGAGTGATTAAGGAATAAAGGGCGTGGAAAGAAAGAGTGGGTTAAGAAGAATGGGTGAGTAAATGAACGAAAGAAAGAGTACGGGAGAATGAGTGAGAAAGGAATAGAACTATAGAGAGGGTAGAAAGAAATGATGAAGAAAGGAAGGAAAGAAAGAAAAGGTAAGGAAGAAATAGAGAGAAGAGAAAAGAAATAAAGAGTGGGTAAAGAAAAATGAGCGAGAACAGAAGGGAAGAAAGAGAGGGTAAGGAAGAAGTAGTGAGGAAAGAAACAAAAGAAAGAGTGCGAGAGAATGAGTGAGAAAAGTATTGACGTATAGAGAGGGAAGGAAGAAGGGGTGAAGAAAAGGAGGAAGGAAAGAGTGGGTAAATATAAATAGAAGGAATATAGACATGATAAAAATGAATGAGCGAGGAAAAGAAAGAAAGAAAGAAAAAGAAAGAAAGAAAGAAAAAGTAAGAAAGAGAAGGTATGGAAAGGAACGTACGAGAAAATGAGTGAGAAAAAATGGAAATATAGAGAGGTGATGAAGAAAGAAAGAGTGGGTAAGAGGTGAGAAAAGGAGAGAAAGAGATAAGACTCAATAAGGAAAAGGAGGGAAAGAGAGAGAATGCAGGGAAGAAAAAGAGAGAAAAAGGAAATATAGAGAGGGTAAGAAAGAATGGGCGAATAAAGAAAAGAAAAAGGAGTAAGGAAGAAAGGGCGAAGAAACGAACGCAAGAAAGAGAGCGGAAGAATGAGTGAGAATGATGAAAATATAGAGAGAAAAGAGAGAAAGATGAGGAATGGAAGGAAAGACAGAGGGAGTAAGAAGTAAATATAGAGTGGGTAAGGGAGAAGAGGTAAGAAAAAGATGTAAGGAAAGAAAAGTTAAGGAAGAATTGATGGTATAAAGAAGAAAAAAGAGTGGGTAAGGAAGAAAAGGAAAGAAATATGGAAAGAGTTAGGAAGAAGCGGGTAAAGGAGAATGTGTAAGAAAAAGGAGGAAAAAAAGAGTTGGTAAAGTAGAAATAGTGAGAAAATGGGAGGAAATGGTGGGTGGGGTATTGTGGCATTGAGGGTGATGTTCAGAGTGGGTGCTCGAAGTAACGAGAAAGAAATGAATGACAAGAGAGAGGGAAAGAGTGAGTGAGTGAGTGAGTGATATATATATATATATATATATAAAAGAGAGAGAGAGAGAGAGAAAGAAGAAGAATTAATGTTCAATCGACAAGAAACGATCGGAAATAGAAGAGAGAGAGAGAGAGAGAAAGAGAGAGAGAGAGAGAGAGAGGGAGAGAGAGAGACCTGAGCAAAAAGAAGAGGACGTTGAAAATAAAGCGATAGAACCAAGAGAAATTTTTAAAAAAGAAAGAAAAATAATAGAAAATAAAAAAGAAGAGATGAAAGAGAGAGAGAGAGAGAGATAGATAGAGAGAGAGAGAGAGAAAGAAAGAGAGAGATAAAGAAAGAAAGAAAGAAAGAGAGAGATAAAGAAAGAAAGAAAGAAAGAAAGAAAGAAAGAGAAAGACAGAGAAAGTAAAGAGTAAATTGAAACAAGAGAGACGTGAAAAGAGAATTACAAGGATAGAAACAATAGCAGATGAAAAAAGTTTGTGTGTGTGTGTTTGTGTGTGTGTGAGAGAGAGAGAGAGAGAGAGAGAGAGTGAGAGATTACGGAGAGAAAATTGTGATAACACATAAAGAAATAATTAGAGAGATAGAAACGACTGGAGAGATAAAGAGAGAGAGAAAGGTAGAGAGAAAGATATATATATATAGCATACACATAAGAATTTTAGAACCTAATAGAATTCTTTTCATTTTCTTTTTCATTTCAAAATAATCACAAACTTTTAGGAATACGTTATGAAAGCGTCGCCCATGTGACGACGGCGTGACCATGTTAGACGGAAGGCTGATCATTTTAAAAATTTTCAGTTATCTGTTCTGAATAAGACTTGTGTTTTTATGTCCATCGTATTTGTCATATTGAACTGAATTGTATTTTGATGAATATTGTCTTGAAAAAGGTTTAATAAACCGAAACGTCAGACGTCGACATTTCTTTCATTTTAACTACATTTAAGGATTTTTGTTTGTTTTTGCAAAATTTCTTCATTCTGTCGGATTTATATCCATTTACACTTGCTTATATATATATATATATATATATATATATATATATAGAGAGAGAGAGAGAGAGAGAGAGAGTGAGAGTGAGTGTGTGCATGAAGGAGAGAAAAATGAGATAACACAAGACAAACATGAAGAGAGAATTAGAGTGACAGAGACAACGGGGGAAAGAAACACAAAAGCAGAGAGAGAGAGAGTACAAATAACATGAAGAGAGATTGAGAGAGATAGACAAGGTGGCAGAAAGAGAGTGGGTGAGAGTATCATAGAGATGGGAAAGTAGATAGTGCGGAAGACAGAGAGAGAGAGAGACATAAAGTGAGAATGAGAGAGACAGAGACAATGAAACAGAGAGTGAGATATATAGAGGGAGAAAGGGAACAAGTGAAAAGAGATAACATCTAAGAGAGAGTGAAGAAGAGCAATAAAGAGGAAGACAGTAGGAAGGAGAGAAAGACGAGAGAACGTGCGAGAGACGGAAAGAGACACGAAGAGAGAATGAGAGAGATAATGAGAACGGTCGAGGGAGAGAAGAGGAAAGAAAGAAGTAGAGTGTGTAGAGAGAGAGTGAGAGAGAAGAGTATGGGAGATCAATAATGATAGAACGAGAGAGGCAAAAGGAGTGAGCGAGTGTGAGAGATCGAAAGAGGGATCGATAGACGAGTAAAATAGGCTATGATTGGAGAAGAAGAAAAATAGGCTATGATCGTAGAGAAAGAAAAAAAAAGGCTATGATCGGGGAGAAAGAAAGATAGGCTATGATTGGATAGGAAGAAAAAAGGCTATGATTGGAGAGAAAGAAAAAAAGGCTATGATCGGAGAGAAAGAAAGATAGGCTATGATTGGATAGGAAGAAAAAAAGGCTATGATTGGAGAGAAAAAAAAAAGGCTATGATCGGAGAGAAAAGAAAGATGAGCTATGATTGGATAGGAAGAAAAATAGGCTATGATCGGAGAGAAAGAAAAAAAAAGGCTATGATCGGAGAGAAAGAAAGATAGGCTATGATTGGATAGGAAGAAAAAATAGGCTATGATCGGAGAGAAAGAAAAAAAAAAATATGATCGGGGAGAAAGAAAGATAGGCTATGATTGGATAGGAAGAAAAAAAGGCTATGATTGGAGAGAAAGAAAAAAAGGCTATGATCGGAGAGAAAGAAAGATAGGCTATGATTGGATAGGAAGAAAAATAGGCTATGATCGGAGAGAAAGAAAAAAAAGGCTATGATCGGGGAGAAAGAAAGATAGGCTATGATTGGATAGGAAGAAAAATAGGCTATGATCGGAGAGAAAGAAAAAAAAGGCTATGATCGGGGAGAAAGAAAGATATGCTATGATTGGATAGGAAGAAAAAAAGGCTATGATTGGAGAGAAAGAAAAAAAGGCTATGATCGGAGAGAAAGAAAGATAGGCTATGATTGGATAGGAAGAAAAAAAGGCTATGATCGTAGAGAAAGAAAAAAAAGGCTATGATCGGAGAGAAAGAAAGATAGGCTATGACTGGATAGGAAGAAAAAAAGGCTATGATTGGAGAGAAAGAAAAAAAAGCTATGATCGGAGAGAAAGAAAGATAGGCTATGATTGGAGAGAAAGGAATAAGGCTATGATCGGAGAGGAAGAAAAAAAAGGCTATAATCAAAGAGGAAGAAAAAAAAAAGAAAAAAGATGAAAGATTAATATTCAAAGGATGTGTAATTAAAAATGAACAGGGTTGAAATAATTGAAAAGACCTACAAGAGAATAAAAAAAGAAAAGATGGAAGCCAAAACTGACAGCTGAAAATGAAAGGCTGTTGAAAGTGAGACGAAAAGAAACGAATAAAGACGAAAGAAAAGGTTGGTATCTATAAAATAAAAAAGAGAGTACTTAAAAGAATGAACATTTAAGAGGACATGCGAACAAAGTGAGAAAAAAAAAAACACGATAGAAATATGCAGTTTTGGGAGCAAGCAGGGGTTACAGTTAGTGAAGATGTCTTAGGTCGGTCTAGGAGGAGGATTCCTATTCAGAGGTGAAGAAAAGGTAATGGAAAGGCATCCACAACGACGGTAGCGAATAAAGTCATCGTTATCAACCCTTACCAGCCGTCCCAGCACAACGTTTCATTCAATAAATCCATGTCGAGCGCGCCCAGCGTCTTTGTCTGCTTCAGCCATGTTTGTTAAGGCTTGGTTTTTACATTCTCACCGGTAAATTCAATGGCCATCGCGGATTGCAGTATAAAAAAGACAAGGATATTTCAAAGAGCAATAAGATGGGAAGGTGACACCAATGTCGATATATATATATATATATATATGTAAAGAATTACTTAGATAATATTGATTTCAACAATCTGTTATTCCTGAAGATTCGCTGTAGCCAAACATTTAGCAAATTTAAATAAGGAATAACTATTAAAGATTTTTTTTAAATAGCATATGCTTTTATGATGTAGGCATTCATGCCCATCGATAATTTTGTCTATCTACTAAAAATCTTATGTTTCGTTGTTCTAATTATCTTCTGATCATTTTCAACCCCTCTTTATCTCTGCTTAGAGAGGTGTAAGACAAGGATGTGCCATAACAGATTTATTCAACCTATATAGCGAGGTAATTCTGAGAGATTTAGAAGTCCTACCAGGATTGATTGTTAGCGGCTACAATCTTAATATAAGATATGCAGAAGATTCAGTAGTGGTAGTAGACACGAAAAGGAAACTACAACTCCCCCCGCTCTACAGAATGACCAATAGAAACGAGGAGAACAGATACTACACTTTGATCCCATACTGATGGCCAGGGAGGAAAAAAGTGTTTAACTGGCTGCTTGGAATGTTTCCTTATAAAGAAAAGGCTGATATTACCATTAGAGATGAGTAGAACAGATACTACATTTTGATCCTATCCTGATGACCAGAGAGGAAAGAAAAGCTTAACTATAGTAGAACTGGCTGCTTGGAATGTTTCCTTATAAAGAAAAAGCTGATATTTCGATTAGAGATGAGGAGAACAGATACTACACTTTGATCCCCTCCTGATAGTCAGGGAGGTAAGAAAAGCTTAACTAGAGTAGAACTGGCTGCTTGGGATGTTTCCTTATAAAGAAAAGGCTGATATTTCCATTAGAGATGAGGAGAACAGATACTATACTTTGATCCCATCCTGATGACCAAGGAGGAAAGAAAGAGCACAGATACTACACTTAGATCTCAGCCCGATAGCCAGAGGGTGAACAAAAGCGTAACTCGAATAGGACTGGTTTTTTGTTCAATGAATGCCGAAAGTTTCCTTACAAGGTAACGTCTTAATATTACCATTACTATCATGATTATTACTTAAGGACACATTTCCCCGTCGCAAATGCATTCTTTTCCGTTGACACACATAAACGATATTTACATAAAGAAAAGAAAGTTTCGTTACAAATAATCTGGGCGAGAATGTTTTTAAAAAAATATCACATAAGTTTATTTTTTTCGTTTTCTAAAATACTGTAATTGTGTTTATCACACTTCAGATCGCATCAGTCATGAAGACAAGTGGTCGATAGAGAAACAAAAGCATTATCTGATGCCTATCAGTCACAAAACAGGATTTTAAAATGGAAATTGACCATTTCCATACAATTCCAGATATTAGCACCCCAAGGTGGATAAAAAGAAATTTACAAAAAAAGAAAAAAAACGTCTTGCTATTCAACTTGCCAATTAGAAAATAGATATTAAACCACATGATCAACACGTTGTAATTTCGGGCAAAAGTTTTTGATAGATTTTATATTTTTATTGAATTTTGGTGAATTTTTAGGGAAATTTATTCCCTTTATCAGTTAAACATTTACATTGTATTATTTATTTTAGTTCAACTGTCAAATTACAATATAGACTTGAAACGGACGATAATTCTAAAGAAGGAGGAGGAGTGGACTTTTTGTGGGTTGGGAGATGCAGCTGTAGACATGGTTGCCATTTTTAAAATGGGATAATTTTCCATGGTAACGGGGATTGATAACAGGGCAACAGTTTTTTTTTATTAAGTTGTCTATGTTTTTCCAAAAGATTTAGGACATGTTTTCACCGCTGAATCTGAAAATGGCATCCGTTTCTCTCGAACAGGTCAAGTTTTTTGTGCTAAGTTGAGTTTTTAAAAATCCGATCTAAAATCTTAATCGATTACATTTTTGCAATATTATCGATTGAATTTTGTTAATATTTCAGTATTTAATATTCCACCCACGAGGAATATATGTGGCACAAAGCCGAGTTTAAAGTGAGTTTCTCCGAGCCCGAAGGCTCGGCCAAAAATATCCCCTTTGAACTCGCCTAGACGGGTTCAGGGCCTGTCTACCTCCTCGGACGAAACCTTGCCCTTCGGCAGAGCCTCGTCCGAGTTCCTCTCTGCTAAAGCAGATAGTTCGACAGACGTCGAGACTGTATCTCGACGTAGCTAATTAATATTGTTAATATTTCTCATACGAAATAAGTTTTTAAGAGAAAAGAAATTGTTTTCTAACACAATTTATTAATCAAATGTTACAAACATCGATTACAATAAATTGAATAGTATACATTGATATATGTAAGTATATGTAAATTGCATGTTACGTCATCATTCTTCAAAATTCGTGGCTTGAAATTCCATTTATTCAAGCCCTTAGAATGATCAGCGGCAGGCTTGCCTTTCTTCAAATTCCAGCAGTAATCAGCCATTATGACTACATCCCAGCGTCCCTGGTCTCCAATCTCTTTCATGTCCTGATGGAATCTCTCCCAATGTTCACCGAGCGTCAGAAATATAACAGTAAAATGTAAACAGTGTAAATAGTTACAATACCTCAGAAATATAGACAGATCCTGAAGAAAGCTTGAGCGCACAACATCCGAAATGTCGTGAATATGAGAGTAAAGGTGCGGAAAACAGTCAAAACAATGTAAATAGTGTAAATATTTACAATACCTCATCTCACAAAGATAGACAGATCCTGAAGAAGGCCGGAGCATACAACAGCCAAAACGTCGTGAATATGTCAATAAAGACGAGAAAAACAGTCTGAACAATGTAAATAATGTAAATATTTACAATACCTCATATCAGAAATATAGACAGATTCTGAAGAAGTCTGGAGGGTACAACGGTCGAAACGTCGTGAATATGACAATAAAAATGAGAAAAAACAGTTCGAACAATGTAAATAATGTAAATAGTTACACTATCTCATCTCAGAAATATAGACAGATCCTGAAGTAGGTCGGAGCGTACAACAGCCGAAACGTCGTGAATGTGGCAAATAAAGATGAGAGAAACAGTCCGAACAATATAAATAATATAAATAGTTAAAATACTTCATTTCAGATAAATAGACACATCCTAAAAAAAGGCTGGAGGGTACAACGGTCGAAACGTCGTGAATACGACAGTAAAGATGAGGATAACAGTCCGAAAAAAAAAAATAAATAAATAGCGTAGTTTTCTTGTAGTTTCTATTTTCTTTAAAACTTCCTATTTGCTTAAATGTTTGGTCCATGGCATTCTCAGCAATCGCCGGTAGAATCACCTCACTGTTGCTTCAAACCCTTGGTCAACATTTACTGCCATATAGGAGATTAGATATTACATCGCAGTTCGGTAATCTTTTATTTGTTTCTAGTAACGTTTTTCTATTATTTAATACTTTGCTTAGATTCTGGAAGTCATCTTTTGCTATTCCGATGCATATTCAGATTTTTATCTCCCACATACGTCCTTTTTTTTTTTTTACTGCTCTATACTATTCGTCATTACTTTGAATATTGCTCCCACATTTGGTCTGGTGTTCCTGCTTCATATTTAGAGATTCTTGATAAAATCCAAAGAAGAATCTGCAAAATTATAGATCCTGACATGACATCTCGGTTTCAGGCCCTTTCCCACCTCCGTAACGCAGCTTTCCTGTACTTTTTCTAAAAATACATTCATGGTTGGTCGATTGATGTTGTTTAGAGGCTATGGGTTATTCAATACTAAAATTTAATTATTTTGAACACAATTTTATGGTTTCAACTAAATATATTTTGAACGTAATCGTGTGCCTTCAACTATAGATAAAATGTATTGTTGGTCATTTTACTATAAATATGTATTGTTGGTTGGTTGATTTTGTTTAGTGGCATATCGATATCTTTATAGGTAATTTAATGCCGAAATCTAAATATTTTGAACACAATTTTATGGCTTCGACTAAATATATTTTGAACGCAATTGTATACCTTCAACTACAGATAAAATGTATTGTTGGTCATTTTACTAAAAAATGTATTGTTGTCCATTTTGCTATAAAAATGTATTTTTGGTCATTTTATTATAAAAATGTATTGTTGGTCATTTTACTATAAAAATGTATTGTTGGTTATTTTATTATAAAAATGTATTGTTGGTCATTTTATTATAAAAATGTATTGTTGGTTATTTTACTATAAAAATGTATTGTTGGTCATTTTATTATAAAAATGTATTGTTGGTCATTTTACTATAAAAATGTATTGTTCATTTTACTATAAAAATATATTTTACTTAAAAAATGTTTGTTGGTTTTTTATTATAAAATATAAAAAAAATGTATTGTTGGTTATTTTATTATAAAATGTATTGTTGGTCATTTTATTATTTTAAAAAAAATGTATTGTTCATTTTAATGTTATTTCTATAAAAATATATTGTTAATTTTACTTTATAAAAAATGTATTGTTGGTCATTTTATTTTGTATTGTAGTTAATTTTACTATAAATATAAAAATATAAAAATGTGTTGCTGTCAATTTTATTATAAAAATGGATTTTTATACATTCATAGTATTTTGTTTTGTTCACGCTTTGCCCATAGCTGGGACCCTAACAGGTGCTACCATCCCGGGTTAGGGTGGATTTGGGAACAACAGCAATTAAGAGGTGGTTCCACGCTCCTGAAAACCACCAATCTCCCGATCAGAGCCCTTGCTGTTTATCGTCATACCCAGGACAACACTTTCATGGTAATTGTTCTGTTGAACTTTCCGCTATGATATCAAGACTTTATGAATTTAAGCGCAGTACTAGATTGGCGGCAAGGTCTCATCATTTACAACTGAAATGGCCGCTAGATATAACCGTAAGTTCTATGCTCACAGTTTCCTCTATCGCACTTTGTGGAACTCTCTTCCGGCTTCTTGCTTCCCAGTTAACTTTGATCTTCCAACATTTAAATGCA